CCATCACTGTGTGCTAGTCTAGGTCCTCTCTCAGTCTCATGGCCGTCTCTGTGCGCTGGTCTAGGTCCTCTCTCTGTCTCATGGCCGTCTCTATATGCTGGTCTAGGTCCTCTATCACTCTCCTGGCCGTCTCTGTGTGCTAGTCTAGGTCCTCTCTCAGTCTCATGACCATCTCTGTGTGCTGGTCTAGGTCTTTTTGAAAAGTGCATGCTTGCAAACGCATGTGTTCTATGTGTTGTCCTGGGTTTTCTGGGGGGTTACAAAATAAGGCAGAAATGGCTAACAAACACTGTATAGGGACATTTGTTCCCAAGATATATTAATATTGTCCCTAGAGTGTAAAATATCTGCCATATCACAATATGCACAGAATCACAAAGACAGTTAGAGGTCAAGGTGACCCCATCAAAAGGGCCCACAAACTGGAAATAAAAGCATACCTGCCATTTCATTTGCAAACAGCGACGGTGTGATGAAGCAAAGCAGGGTATATTGGAGCTATTGATATTATAGATGATGATATTTTAGAGGAGCACTTTTACAAGTCATTATAAAGGTGACTATAGCTTTATTTATCCTCTTTTATCTGGATGATTGTTGAAAAACAACAAACAATAGTTTGAAAAGCTTCAACATCGAACATCTAGTTGGTTAAGCGAATTAAATCTGTTTACCCTTGAAGCTCCTAATTAATCTTTAACACATCGCCTGTGCCATAAGAGTCAGCAGCCTGTGGTCTTGCCAAGCACATTAGAAACCTTTTTTTTAAAAAAAAAAAACAATTCTGCAAATCTGTCTGAGCTCTGACCAAGAATGAGAAGCTGCAGCTTGACTTTAAACTCAAAGCAGCTGTCCCTGCTCACAGAACAAGCGCCACACTCAGAATATTTATAGAGCGTCTGTGCCCCCTTCTCTCCTCTCCCAGCTCTTGTGAAGCGTGCCGCTCAGCAGCCCTGGCCTAGCGCACACAAGAGCACAACCAGTTTATCCACCGGTGAGAAAAAGGGAAAGGTTTTTCCAATTAGCACCAGGTTGGAGTGCTGTTGCAGTGCTTTGCACATGCAAGAGGGGAAATAAACACGTTGCAAGCCTCCTGCTCCCTGTGTGCCTGGTTAGATGGAAGCACTCAGGCTGATGAGCCAAGCCTGCCAGATGCACAGAGGACACTGCTATTGAGGCGGCTTTGCGGGGAAAGTGTGAGAAACGACAGCTACAGCACTGAACTCACAACTGGAATGTTGCACAACTTTACGCAAGTCAGGGAAAGCAAAGGCTTGAGAAGGGCAAAGGCCCATGAGCATGAATCAATATTTCCCAAGCCAGTTTTCATCAATGAAAGCAGAGAGAAACTTGGTATCTGTTGGGGAGTCATCCACCTAATTTGCAGTGCATGCCCGTCTTACGGTTTTAATTGAGATGTCGATCTTGCACAGCTTGGCAGCGGATTGTTTAGTCTGTTATAGAGTTGAACTTGGAGGTTTCTACGGTTTATGAAAGACCCTGTGCGAAAACTGAAACTTATACTGCTTTCACAATTATACTGCTTCCCGTTTCATTGCATTATCAACCACAGCACGGCATCAAATCTTTTTATCTTTAAAATGGAAGGCCAGGTGAGATAGATAGATAGATAGATGTTCTCCGTTCCTGTTGTGTTCTGTGAGCTGTTATTGGCTGATCGACAATCAGTGATGAAAATGCACTCAAAAAGGGATGAGGTCCGTGAACAGTGAAGGAATACAGCCTTACAGTGTCCCACAGAGCGGCCAGCTAGTGCACGCAATTAGAAATCATCCTAAACCCTCTGATCTCTGTTTGAACTGAAGTGCAGTCCTTGTATTACTGGCGAAAGGGGAGTTGAGGAATGCTTTGGATGTCTTGCCTTATGGCAGATTAATTAGCCACACAATGCGAGGAACAATAAGCAGTGTTTCTTTAAGACAGGGGAGGGGAGAAGTCTGCTCTTGCCTGGGCTTCCCTTTTTATTGTTTATCCTCAGCTCGCAGTACCACCCAGTAGTGGCTGTAGTTGCTGTTTATGTGAGGCTGCCAAGAAAAAAAAACGGCTGTGTGAAACACTGGGGCACTTTCCTATTTATAAAGAGAGACGTGTAATCCCAGGGCAGTCTGCCTGAACAGCGCCTTCAGACTATCTTCTCTGGAATCGGTGGTTTAGCCCTTAAATAAGGGACACAGTGGGACTACCTTGCAGCACAGAATGTTTATACCTGACGGTGACTGAGTGTGAAAACACACATGGTGTTCACGGGGGGTTGGGTCAGTGAATTGGAACGGAGGGCTTGAGTTTCCGTTTTTTTCTCATTCACTCAGCATAAGGTGTCTTTTCTTTACTACTACCACGAAGCTGCTGAACTGGCAGATTTGGAAGTTGAATCCCTGTGTTTATATACTGCTCAGTTACAGTGTGGGCTTTTTTCCCCCAAAAAGACCGGTGTGCCTCATTTGAAGAGAAGAATTTGTGTAGGAAGCTTAAGTCTCCTTGCTTTTCAAAACATGGCCTTGTGTTACTGGATGACTTAGAATTTGTGCAGGGATTGTGTATGATGGTATTTCAATTCAATTTAGTTCAGTTCAATTCAATTCAATTCAATTCAATTCAAAAGACTGTATTCATCCCATGTGGGCAATTTAAGAGGTATTTATATACTGTACGTACTGTCTAATTATCTATTGTATATTGGCTAATTGCCAATCTCATTTCACTTGGGACCTGAGTTTCCATTGAAAAATCGCCACAAAGCCACATGAAGCACATTTATTTTCTGTGTGATAGCGTTGACCCCTCTCATTGTGTCGTCATTTGGTTACAAATGGAGGTGTTTACTCATTCCCATTTGGAAAACTGATTTTACTTCAGCGCCATCTCAGCCTATGCAATGTAGCTTTAGTAGTTCTGCTCTTGATCTTAAAGTCCTATCACATGCGCATAGCAGTAATTCCATGCATTTGTACATTGCTTTACATCCCAAAGGATCTCAAATTTCTTTCCATAGAGTAAGAACACACCAGGTTCAGCAGGATGGAAGCCCTGTCTGAACAACATTTCCCAGGAAGCCTTGGGGGAATGAGCAGCTGCTCCCAGTCACCTGACCAGTTGCTCAAAGACAGTTGGTCAGATGACTGTTTAAAAAAGCAGGAAGTGGATGCATTCTGGGTTCATCAGTTCAATTCAGCTTCGGTTCAAGATGCTTTATTGGCATGACCAATGAGTAAAATTGACGTTGCCAAAGCACAATAAATACAAACAGAAAGTTAAAAAAATTACTGACAAATTAAAAAAATTACTGACATTAACAATACAGACACATCATAAGATATCCATCAGTGACTGTAATATCTGCCATCTAGAGGACACAAGGCAGATCCTTTTATTAGCCATATAAGATAAGATCACTTTATTAGCCATATACAATTTCTTGCATTAGGAATTCATCTTTTTGCATACCCCAGCTTGCTCTCCATGACACAGAGACACAGACAGGGAGAGAAGCTTGGGGTCAGAGCGCAGGGTCAGCCATTATACAGCACCCCTGGAGCAGTTGGGGTTAAAGGCCAGACAGAGTAGGATTCTTCTGCCAGCCACGGGATTTGAACTGGCAACCTTCCAGCCAGAGGTGCAGATCCTTAGCCACAGAACCACTGCTCCACCATCCTTTGTGTGCTCCATTCACCAGAGGACAGAAAGACTGACCATAGACAGGGACTATGAATTTTGTGAAGCTACATTTGTTCATTTTGAGAGTTTGGAAGTTGGAAAAGCCTCTTGGGAGTCTCTTGAGTAGTTTTGTTTTATGCTGGTAAGTAGCTCAGTTGCCTGCCTGTGATAGTTAGGGACTTTGTGAAGACTTTTAGTCAGGCGGTCAAAAAGGAGCATAGGCTTTTGTTTTGGTGTTTAGGTTTGGACTGATATTTTGTTTTCTCCAAAGTACATGCTCTCACACTTGCACCAAACAACCAAAGGCCAGCAGTCATCTAATCCAGCGACTCACAACTACAGTAGCAACCCCCTGCAGGGTTGAGCCTGGTCAGTACCAGGATACGAGACTCCTGACAAAAAACTAAGGTTAATGATGGAAGGGGAGTTAGAGTGGCCAGTAGGGGGCGCTCACCCTGCAGTCTGTGTGGGCCCTAATGCCCCAGGTTTTGATGAATGTTGTCTCATTCTTCCCCTGTACATGTGATGTTGTAGAAGACGTTTGAGAGCCATGTCTGAGCGATTTCAGTTCCACCTGAATGTCATCTTTTTACTCCTGTGAGGCACTAAATCGTATGTTTCAGTCCAGGCAAGTTTAGTCTTCTTTTGGAGACAATTTGTCTGTCCTTCATGAACTATTTTTTTCCTTACTCGTCAAAGAAAAGAGAAAATCGTTATTTCCGAAACAAATTCAACATACTATATGCTATGAAAGAGCTTTCTAATGTATTGAATTGTTTCCAAAAGTTGTAGAAGATTTGACATAAAAAATATAAGACCACACACTTCTTCTTTGTAATATTAAATGTAGTATTTCCATGTTTTAATAACAATTCTACAGGACTCATGAATTCATAATAAAAATAGTAATATTTTCCACTTTGGTGAAAACACGCAGCTTACAGTAATTCAGAAGTGCATTGTTCTGGTGGCCTTCTTAATATGGCTTCTGAAATCCAGTCCATTAAGCTTAGATTGGCCGTTGCAACATTGACAAAGTGCTACGTGATTTCCTAGGAAGGACAAACAGTTGGTTGACATATGAGTTTGGTTCTAATAAAACCCAAATTGTTAATATTGCGGCCATGTTGAGCGCACACTTATAAAACATTCCAACTGTAATCCCCAACATCTGCTGGCTGTTTCTGCAAGGGATTCGCTGGAAACAATAACAGTTGCATGATAGATGCTTGAGGGGTCATGCGTCCAACACAAAGCCACTTGCGAGTTTTTTCTTTTCTTTCAGCCATGTTCCACTTTTTAATAAGATTTTTAAACACGCATGACAACCCCTTAGGGTCTGTGATTAAACACACGCATATACAGTATATACTGCATGGGCTGTATATCGGGACGTGGGTGAGCTATTACGTTTGGGTGAGTGGGACAAAACGGTTACTTTTATAATGTGCACAAAGTAAAAAAAAACCAACAAAACCTCGAAAACCATGGACAAGTAAAAAATAGAATGCTTTTTGAAAAAAGAAGTGCTCTCACTTCTCTCAACCTCGGGATTGAAGGAGCTTCTAGCTTTCTAGGCTTTTGACAGTTTTCTGCAGAAGGCTCAAAATTCTGCCTCAAAAAACAAACAAACTGCAGAATAATCAATGTAAGCTCTGCGCCACGCATGGGCAGCCACTATCGAGTGAACATACATCATTATCCCCTTTGTGGGATAGTATGAAGTCGGCCATTGGGTTTTAGTTTCTTGTGTTGCATTGAATTATTAATACAATCGAGCAGTTAGTTATTGGGATTTTTTTCGGCGTCTTCCCTGGCTGTTCTCACCAGTTTCCCGTTCTGTCTCCCTGCACAGAAGTTCTCCGGATGGCTGTGGCCTGGTGAAGGCAGGCAAGCTGGCCAGTGGCTCCGACGGTGGTCCGATGAGTTACGGCAGCTACATGGAGGACAAACACATCCCCCCCCCCAACATGACGACCAACGAGCGCAGAGTCATTGTGCCCGCAGGTGCCAAAGCTGCTGCTGGGTTCATCCCTCGGACGTTTCCGTCCCTGTTGCCCTGGAAGGGGGTGGTGGGTGTGGGGGAGTGTGTGTGGATGTGGGGGTGCTCTTTTCATCTGGTCCCCAGCACTGAAGCTCTAAAGCTTTTGCTGCGAGAGGGTGCAGGGCCTCGTCTAGACCATTTCCTACTGTAGAATTCCAAGAGGAGCAAAAAGGGAAAAAAAAACACTAGCAAACGCGACGCCTTCTGGGAAACAGCCGTACAGGCAACCCTGTCAGGGTCGTGAGCAGAATCGCATGTGGCAGAACTTCAGATATTTGCCCTGCACAGCTTTACATAACCCATGTCTTGGAAGTGGGTCGCGCTGAACAGTTAACAAGTAGAGGGATAAAATTGATGTGTAATCATTCTTTTTAGGGAACAGAAAAAAGAATGTACTTTATTGTCCTTCACTGGAATGTGAAAAAGACATGCTGTACAGTAGTTCAGTGGTAACAAGAGTTACAAATTCAAGTTTCTCAGCTTTACTTCAAACTTTACTGACTCTGTAACACCTGTTACGGTTGTTATTGCATACTTCTTATAGTTTGTGTATCTATAGTATCTATAAATGACTAATTAATTCATTACGTTCAGGGTGTAAGTGCAGCAAAGTTACACTTGGCTAAAGGCTGAAAAAAGTATAGAGGGGAAATGACTTAATGTAGTTACACACTTCCTGTCACCGATAACGATATGGAATCGTTAATTAGCATTACAGACAACACAGAAAGAGTGGCAGAAATCATTTCTGAAGATGTACAAGTACCAGCCATTAAAGCTAGAAGCCAAGTGTGAAGAACTGAAAATTCCTCTGAAGCCCAAGGAGACCACCCTCGTGTGCAATTAGCAAATTATTTTTTGCACTCCATTGAGGAGTTGTGTAATAGTTTCAGTCTTGCGGTGCAACTTCCTTTCTAACCGAAGCTGACGGAGACAATGATGAGGCATGTTTAGTACATCCTGTTTTTGCATTTTTTTTTTCTGAAAAAGGACAATGGGAATGTATCTTTGGAATTAAGGCAAAATGGAAGCAAAGCTGTTTTTTCTGCTCTTTAAATAATTAATTTTGACTTCACTACCGAAATGAACTAGACCCCGTATTTGAGCTCTGAACTACAGAAGTGTGGTGTCTGGGCACTGAAGAGCATTTACAGCCTTATTTTCTTGTGGTAAAGCCTTATTTTGTTTGTTTATTTATTCATCCATGAGGCCTGTGCCAGAGGCTTTCCACAGGAAATACCAACTTTACTCTATAAACCATCATGACCCTTAGGACTCCTCTTCCTGGTGAAGTGATAGGTCCCAATATTTAGAAGCATACACATTTTATTACTTCCCTGTAGAACGGCTTGTGCAATTTCTTTCTTTTTCTTATTGTATCGACAAATCATTGATTCGCAATTGTCAAGCACATGTCTTAGTTGCCAATTTAGGCTCTAGCTAGATTGGAAGGCTTCATGAAAGGTTTCTCCGGTATTGCATGTCAATGAGTACAGGTCATGCTGACAGGAGAGATGATGAATGGATGTAATTTGCAATCTGCTTGTATTCCTCAGATCTGGGATGATCCTATTATGTTTACAAAAATAAAACATTTCATGTAAATACCACGGAGGTGAAAAATAAACACTACGCATCACTTTGGCAGCTGAACGAAAACAATGCCCTGTATAATTTTTTCTTTCTGTGTTTCATCAGTAAATTCCATATAGTTTGGGAATGTACTGTAGTTAGATAGAGCTTATTGGGATACATTAAGCAGATGTGTCCAGCTGTTGGATTTATATACCAACTAGATACATTTTAAAATGGTGCGCCATATGGAGGTTTAAAAACAATTTTTAAATTAATTTTTGCTCTTCTGTATACAGTAAGTCTAAATGTAATGCATTCCGTTATATTATAATACACTCGGGTGCTCTCTGTACGCTGTGCCTTTGTGTCTTAAAAGCTAGCCCAGTGAGCTTCCACCATCACTTCTTTTTTCTGTTTGTCAAGAAGGATAAAAATTAAAAGGAAAGCAATCTCGTTAAATTTCATTTTTATCCTGCTTGTCTCTCTGTAGAAAGAAGTGATCGTGGAATTGACACTTCTCATCGCGTTTTGCGCCTGTGTAAGTACTTTGTTCGTTTTGGCTCCGTCGTGTATTCGTGGATATTCATGGAATCCCCAAAAAAGCCGTGTCTCTTCACCCCATCTGGAAGAAGGCTGCAATATACTGTAAGGCAATGGCCCATGTGTACTTTAAAGAGTGCTTTCCATTCCAAAGCAGCACATCAGAAAAAGAATCTTGCATTTGTCTGTTATCGGCAGGAAAAGCTCTTGAATTAGCTGTTGAATTAAAAGCTATTGATTTCTCCTCTGCTGCCCTGACACTTGCTTGCAGTTATGTGCAGGTATGAAGAAGGTGGTTAAGAGTGTTCCAGGCGAAGCTGCTTTAAAATACAGATTGCCAAAGCCTGTAAACTCTGGGCTTGATGATTTGCAACAATTACAAGAACAGAAACCCATTTTATAATTAATTATTCACCCCTGTTATTTAAAATTTGCATCTTTAATCTTGTAATCCATACTCTTTTTTTTTTTTAGTAAGAAAGGGAAAACCCTCAAAATATTTTGACACTCCAGTTTCTTTAGCAAAAGCTTCCTACACCAAATACAGAGCCTTTGAAATCATAGCAAAATGCCCCAAAAAGTCTTTCCTGGGGTAGCATATCTCTAAGTTGGTAGACTGTTCTTGCTGTGGTATTAAGTAGCTGGCACAGTAATGCAGTAGGTTTCATTGCCACTTGACAGTGCTGGGGCCCGGGCTTCAGTTCATCTGTGTGGAGCTTGTATGTTCTCCCCGTGTTCGTGTGGGTTTCCTCTGGGTGCTCCAGTTTGCTCTCACAGTCCAAAAACTTACTGGCGGGTTAATTAACATCCGCGAAAATTGGCCTGGTGTGAGTGTGTATGTGTTTGCCCTACAATGGACTAGCGTCCCATTCAGGGTGTACCCTGCCTTTGCCTGCCAGGATAGAGTCTGGCTCCCTCCCCCGCCACCCTGCACTGGTTAAAGCAGTAAGAAAATGGATGGATGTCTCTGCCCGTGCCCCGATCCCAGTATGACCCCGGTGTGCCTTGCAGATCCCACGCTGTGGACGACGGAGCACGTGAGACAGTGGCTGGAGTGGGCGGTGAAGGAGTATGTCCTTCTGGATGTGGACGTCTCCTTGTTCCAGAACATCGATGGGAAGGAGCTCTGCAAAATGAGCAAAGAAGACTTCCAGAGGCTGACCCCCAGCTACAACGCAGAGATCCTCCTGTCCCACCTCCACTACCTCAGAGAGAGTGAGTGTAGCAGCCGGCTCTTGGCCAGGCCTCGGAGCAGTTGGATACCTGCAGTGCAGCACGTACCTCCTATAAAAACCTGCTTACTGCTCCTGATGTCAAAATCAGGCTGGCTTACCCTGCCACAAGCCTTCATCATACTATAGCGTGAAGCTTTGCAGTATCTATAGAATCCTGCATGATCTTTGTCTAATTTCTTTCTTAAAAGAAAATAGCAAAAAGGGGACAATTGTACAGTCATTCAGGACAAGGTATTTGCATGCTTTGCCATGCCTCTCTTGCAGTCTGGTTTTCTGCAATACCCCCTTACTGTATCACGCACAATTTGTGTTCTTCCCACAATCAAAGGTTCTTTTCAGCCATCCTTACATCACGCTGTGGTTATGGGGAGGACATGCCAGGCTTGTCAGAACATACGTTTAAGAGTGTGTGCAGATTTTAATAACCCGAGCCAGGGAGGATCTTTTGCTATAGTACAAGGCTCACTTTTATTAATACTATATTAGCTCACACCAGTTAAATAGGATAGGAAAGATACTGTACAACAATTATTCTTTTTACTCTGAAATATCTTTCAGACTATGTAGAGGGATACACAATAGAGAAACAGCCATTGCAGCAGTGTTGTTCTGAATCATTTCATTTTCATTTTCGTAGAGATTTTCATCACTCTTATTAATACATTTAAAAAACATGGGAAAGAAAATAGATAACTAAATAGTTCCGTCAAAGCTCTGCTGATAGTTTTCTCTTAAACGTATTATTAGGTCTAACATACTACATATTTGGACAAAGAGAATTTCTGTTAGGAATTGATGATTGCGGTGTTTTATCTTGTGCAGTTTAATTACTGGACTTCTTTTGCTTTATTCCCGGTCATCTTTTTATGCTGGGAACAGAGCAATTTGGATAAAAAGGAGGAACAACACATATATAGTTACAGAATAGATTTTCAAGGCTTGAGGCTTTAGAAAATGTTGTTTTTTCAAAAGTCTGGTACTGTACATTATCTGACATTCATCCTAAGACTACTCTCTGTGGTGTTCCAAGTACAGATACATAGCTTTTCATTTTAACTTTTGATGTTTTAAAATTAGTTTGAATGATGGGACAATTCCTTGTTTCACTTGTTTGTTTGGGCAGTGCTGTTTTTTTGCGATCAAATGCGTTTGAGAAAAACACAGTTAAGAAGATTGCCTTCCCGAAAACTATTTTGGGTGGATGCTTCTCTCTGTCTGTGCCAGCTTTTCTAATGGTCAGTGGACCTGGTTCATGATTCAGGCATTTTGTGTTTTGAATAAAGTCCAAATCGAATGGGATTGAAGAGAGAACCAGGCACAGTCAGAAATGTTTTTAAATGACCTGAAGAAATTGCTTTTTCTTCAGCTACTGAAAAGGTCCTTGTATTGTAGCTAAGACACCGCAACATTGTAACAATTAGTGCTACTAGACAGGCATATCTAAAATCTTTTTAGGGTGTTACTTGACTGTTCTTGAAGACCGTGACTAGATTAACAGGTAGACAGTACTTTCTAGAAGTATTTATGTTTTTAATTAATGATGTGCTACAGTGTGTCATTATAAATGCCTTTGGCTAAAAAGGAGACCATACTTTTAAATTAGATATCTTTAAATTGGTAGACTAGTCCTACTATAGCATAAAGTACTTGGTTTCAGGATTAGGTCCCTGAAGAATATCCATGTTATGACAGGAAATAGGTTTTGTCAGAATTAGCAGACATTGTTATTTGAGGAAATATCCGCAATGTTATTGGCATCATCTTTCATTTTTAGTTCTAATTCCTTTTAACATTGATCGAGAATTCTCAGATTTTTCAGGACTCCATCTCCTGAAGTTTCAACCAGTGCTTTAACCTTACAAGCTCTGAAGGTTACATCTGGTTCAATGGTCCTAATTTTAGAAAACACATGGTAAAAAATATTTATAGGATGAAGAATGTTTTAATTTAAAATGAAAAACAACACAAACACAAAGGTTCTCAGTCTTTTTGTGTTTTCTTTGGAGGTTTGGGGTTTTAAACCTTTTGGCACAATGCAAATGTTGGTCTTTAGGAATGTACTGTAGGCACAATATCAACACGTACCTATCACGAACAAGTATGAGAGATGGCAAATATTTCATGAACAATTAAGCATAAACCTGCTGGTTTTAAGCTATATTTTGGATCATCTCTTTTGTTAGGAAATAGTAAAATGAAAATGGAGGAAAACTATGGCAAATCATTTTGTTTGTTTTTTTAAAAAAGGCAGAAGGTTTAATGAGAAAAACATGAAGAAATGCTGGATCACAGGAACTCTTCTTTATAAAAACTGGGGTCGCTAAATGTACAAAACTTTGGGGAGCCTTGCTGTTGACAGCTCTCAGCAAAGCACATACAAGAGCAAAGCTTGCCTTTCATCCTCTTCTCCTGCTTTCTTTTGGCACTGCTCAGCTGTTTCTTTTTCATAATATGTACACAGGCTTGGAGAATTTATTTTAGAAAAAAACTGTCCAGGCATGCACTTTTCACAGATGATTGTGGGCAGCGGCGATGCGCTCTGTGTGTGTGTGTGTGTTTTCCTTGGCCTTTCAGCCTTCTCCTGTGCACTCAGTGGATGTGGTGTCTCTCGCGCGCTCTCTCCTCGCCTGTCCCCCTCTCTCCTCCTGGCCCGCTGGGGTTACTCAGGCCTCTAGAGGGGGCCGCCTCACAGATCGCCAGACGTTTCGAGCGGTTCCAGTTGATTTCCTCTTTCAAAAGAATGTTTTCTTTCTCAGCTCCACTTCCCCACTTGACTTCAGATGATGTTGACAAAGCCTTGCAAAACTCCCCTCGGTTAATGCATGCACGTAACACAGGTAAGGAGAACCTGCACACCTCTCTCTGCTTTGCCAGGGGCACCTTACTACACTGATAGTGCTGATTTCTAATAAATATGTATGGATTCATATATATTTATCCTCTCCTATATAATTTCCCTATATGCTGGTACAGGTATGTGTGAGTTTCTAAGAGGAGAACACTTCGTATTTGGTTTGATCAGTGCAGGTTTGACTTTGTTCCCCATCTTTTTTGGTTCTGTCAACTTGACGACAGACATTATGATAATCCTGAGCCACACCGTCATGCTTCTTCATTTCAGGGGGTCTTCTATAATTAGTATAACACAGTAATTCCATGTAATAAAGTTGTTATTAAATACATAATGGTTGATTTTCCCTATTATTATATTTAATTATTGTTCACCTGCCTGCCTTTCACTTGTTTGTTGGCTGATAACATTGTGTGTGTTGCCCGGTTGAAAAGTACGATACGATTGTGTCTGCAGGCTGGCCTTTTCTGCTTTGCATCTCTACTGCCTTATACTACCTTGTATAGTATAATCGGAGATGCTTTATTTGCAGTGCAGTCCTTTATGATGAACAGTTTCCAGACTCAAAATCTCGACGGTTTCCTTTACTTTCCAGGAGGCGCAACGTTCATCTTCCCCAACACCTCTGTGTACCCAGATGCAGCACCCCGGGTGTCGACTCGGCCAGGTGTGTTAAAGATCATGCACTTGGTCCCGAGCTTAAACATGATACCGCCAGCTGTGTTTCTGTCTTCATAAACTGTGATGGACTGGGACTCCGATTCTGGTGTTGGAAGAATGCACTTTCATCTGGTTTTTGGTCTTCCTAACAGGCCAATTTGATTTTAGTTTTCCGTTTGGGGCATAATAATCAGTTTGCTTTTGACTCTCAAAAAGTCAAATGAGATTTGTGATTGGTATCCACCCTGTATGAATTTCCGATTTAACCACCAAATGGGCTAGAGATGCTCAGTAGGGTCCTCAAGAATGTAACCCTTCTTATGTTCTTATGTTTGAAGCCCTGCAGAAGGAACAAATGCTCATAGTGGGACAGTCTAATACAGTGGCATTCCTGCCTGTGTGTGTTCATCATCAATTCATCAGCTAGTAAGAGCTGTTTAGTCAGAAATATCAGCCAGGAAGTTGAGGAGAAGCCGTGTACAGCTCTGTCTGCTTAGGTTATTGGAAACTGGACCCTTGTAATTGAGTATTTTAACTAAAAGTGAAATAAAAGTCTGAACAAGCAAACAGATTAAATACTGTAAGTCATCGATCACCACTGGCAATTTAGGGTTCAGCTGGAATTAAAATCATTAAATACACTATCCCCCCAGGACCAGTGTTGAGAACCATTTATAGCAATATGACTGATAAATGAAAAGTTTAATTTGATGTACTTATACACCCATATCTACCTTTGTGAAGACATCTTTTCTTCAGATTTTGGATTGTACACTTGGTAGCTTGTTACTGTGAGGTGTGTGCTCCCCCTGCTGGCTTGATATGGCATTACAGAGACTAGCGATGGCTGAGTGAACTGACTGCTGGACTCTTCTGTCCTTTTTGCCGAACTTTTTGGTTTTTCAGACATAGCCTATGAAGCAGCTAGGAGGTCAGGATGGACTCCCCAAGCTGTATCTTCTTCCAAGGGTGAGTAGAAAAGGGGTTTCTGAAACCGGTTTGTCCGTTCAACCTCTTGCTTGAATTGTCCTCGTTAGACTCTAATATCCTGAACTTCAGATGGTGCCATTTTTCGTTGTAAATGAACAAAAAAGAGACTGAACCGTTTGCTTGCAATTGGGAATGTTTTTTTTTTCTTCTTCAAAAAATAAGAACCAAAGAGAATTAAACAGATCAGCATGGTGGTGCAGGAGTTGAGTGTCCCCGTGTTTGCTTGGAGTTTTGCCTGGGTGCTTCGGTTTCCTCCCACAGTCCAAAAACATACTTGTAGATTACTTGGCCTCTGGGCGCTCTGTTGTGAGTGTGTGCACGTCTGCGTCTGTTTGCCCTGCGGAGGACTGGCGGCCCATGCTGGGCGTATCCTGTCGTATGCCGCTTGCTTGTCGGGATCGTTTTCGGCTCCTACGCGACCTTGTATTGGATAAAGCAAGAAAATGGATAGAAGGAGAATTTTCCATCGCAAGAGAAGTCCTGCTCATGTTGACCTGTCTCTTTCCAGGCACCCAGCCCTCATCGTCAGTAGTCACCAAAAATGAAGAGCAAAGACCACAGCTAGGTAAGTTATGTTTTAGCTTCCTTTAAAAATGGAACCTGCAAGGTTTAGTATAACCATCTTAAATGACTGCTCTATTTAATTTAATCATTCCAAAAAGAGAAAGCTTGACACCTGACATGCACAGGTATTTAGAAGGACCATTCAACAGAGACTTGCTAAAGTTCTCTGTGAAACCAGGGAATAATATCTTTGATCTTTGTTCCCTTGTAGATCCCTATCAAATACTTGGGCCGACAAGCAGCAGACTGGCAAACCCAGGTAAACCTCAGAGATTAATATCATCACACCTGACACCGACAATGAAACACACCTGACTGGCTCTGTGATATTAGGCTCTTTGCCATATTTCTGCAGACATATTCACCAAAGATAGTAACTGTATTAAATTTACACTCTCCTGTGAACATTGTCTTTGCAAGATTATCCGGATTTAAGCATGAATAACTCCAGATGTATCCTAAGCCCATTGTAAGTTCTTTAGAAACAGACGTCCAGTAGTCACTGGTTGCTGTCTCCCTCTTTCCTCTGTCCTCCAGGGAGCGGACAGATCCAGCTGTGGCAGTTCCTCCTGGAGCTCCTGTCGGACAGCTCCAACTCCAACTGCATCACCTGGGAGGGCACCAACGGGGAGTTCAAGATGACCGACCCGGACGAGGTGGCCCGGCGCTGGGGGGAGAGGAAGAGCAAGCCCAACATGAACTACGACAAGCTGAGCCGGGCCCTGCGCTACTACTACGACAAGAACATCATGACCAAGGTGCACGGCAAGCGCTACGCCTACAAGTTTGATTTCCACGGCATCGCCCAGGCCCTGCAGCCCCACCCCCCAGAGTCGTCCATGTACAAGTACCCCTCGGACTTGTCCTACATGAGCTCGTACCACGCGCACCAGCAGAAGATGAACTTTGTGGCTCCCCACCCTCCTGCCCTCCCTGTCACTTCCTCCAGCTTCTTCGCCGCCCCCAGTCCTTACTGGAATTCCCCCACTGGGACCATTTACCCCAACAGCCGGCACCCAGCCGCCCACATGCCCTCGCACCTGGGCACTTACTATTAGACAGATCGCTGGCCCGCATCTTCCTATTCAGGAAGAAATAATGAGGGAAGTGAGAGAAAACAGGACATTTGTTTGCAAATGCGAAGTCAAAGATATATAGAACCTAATGAAACCCCCCAAAAAAAGAAAAGTAACAAAGCAGAAACATGAAGGGATTTGTGGAAAGTGTGAATTGGTATGAAGGGATGAAAGGATGATTCAAGAACTGAGAGAGCGAAAGAGTTCTAGATACTGGAAGAAGAAAAGCAGGTTGCTGGGAGCTGCAGTATGGCTGACTGTCAAGGGCAAGTTGCAGGTGGTCATTGTAGATAAATGCTGGGAAGGCAATAGAAGACGTAACTTTATACCTTCTTATTAAAGGTAATGAACATACTACAGGAAATACACAATAACTGCATGAAAAGTTAGCAAATATATATATATGAATAAAGTATTAAACTACCTTATTTAATGAAGCAAACATATCAGACTATAGACTAAAGACTATAGAAGTGTGTGGAAAAGTCAGGCATAGCACAAACACGCAATGGTGTAAATTAAAAAAAGAACAAAGACTCCCAGCCTTCTGGGAAAGGTGCAGGAGAAAGGGAAGGTGTTATCTGTAGCAAACTGTGAAATAAGCGTGTGAGCATCGGGAAGGACTCGAGCTGAAGGAGTGGACTTCAGGACAGACGCTTGTGAGAAAAGGGATAATGCCAAAGCAAGGGAATAGCAGAGGAGAATGGAATGGATCCGGCTTAAATCCCGAAACACTGTCCTGAAAACAGCAAGTCCTGTATCACTGAGAGGACAATGAAGTATTAGTCCTTTGGATACACGCTGCCAGTTCTAACAGTATTTTTACTGCACAGTGGTGCACAAGCCATTATTGAAGGTAAAGGAGGTTATAAGGAAAACCTTTTTACTTGACTGTTTTTTTTAAAGGGAATACCTTGAAAACATAATGCATCTCTGTTATTTGGAAAACTGGAATTATGAAGATTTTTAAATGTATTAAATAGGACCTCAAATCCTTTTTTGGGGGGGAGTTTTCTTGACCTGTTTCTGAATATAGAAACTCTTTATACTGCCAAAGAGATTTCATAAAAGTATCTGTTTTTTATGACTTTTTTTTTTCTGAGTCGCGAACGCTGTGCGTTTGTTAGATCGAAGTATCCAATTCAGTGTTATTTTTTTCTTTTTATATTATAAATATGTAACTTATGCATTTATACACTACGAGTTGATCTCAGCCAGCCAAAGACACAGACTTTAAAAATATGAAATAAGAAATACGGGAAGAACTAAAAAAGACATAAATGGGGAAAAAAACCAAACGGCAAACCATTTGTGGCCTTGGCATTTTTAAACTCTGTAAGCTTTTGTTTACAATTCAAACTCTAAGTGCGTAGGAAAAGCTGAGTATATGTAATGAAAACCTGAGTTTGGCCTGGCATGGCATTTCAGAGCTTTTCTGTATTTTAGCGCTAGAGGTTAAGGGTGGGTTAGGGGTACACAGAGAATCTTTAAAACCAGGGAAAATGGATGGGTTGTAATGAGGCTGGTCAAAAGGGAAGGGTACATAGAAAACATTTTACTACGGTAAATTATATGTTTTTCTATTGTGTAATTCAAATAAAGTATTTTTAAACTACAGACGGTATATTGTATTATTACGTCACTTGAAGAAAAAAAAGTAAAGTAATACAATTAGCACGGACATTTATTGCTGTCAGCAAGGAAAAATACATTGTGTGGTATCTCATAATTACCAGAAAATTATCTTATTATTACAAGAGAGTACATTATCTTGTAATTACAAATTAGCAAATGATCTTGTAATTACAATGTGGCAATGCTCATTTGAGTTTATGATCAACCTGTTCCATTGCGTAATGACAGCAGTGACTGTAGACGCTTGTCTTGAACTTGAGGTTTAGTGTTCGTGACAGTGTCCAACGCTGCAGAATGAACACAGGCTACTTTCCACTGGGGTTTGGTCATAATGAAAGGTTACGATTTGTACCTATGAACACAATCATTACAATCATGAAGACACTCACACGTACCCTTGAACAAGAACAAGTGTACCATGCCATCAACTCCACTGCTCAAAACTGAGAGTCAACTAATGATAATATAGGTATTGTATTGAAATTATGCTATTGTGTGATTATCATACAAAGTACAGGACAATGCACGATATTGTAATTACAAGATCATTTGTGATGTCATAAGTACACGATAATGAAGTAACTCTTAATTACGAGATCATTTACGATCTCATAATAATTAGAAAATGTATCGTGCCATCTCACAATAAGGACTTCATTTTCTCATAATTATGAGATACCACATGATTTTTTTTTCCTTGACGGCAGCGATGTGCTTTCTTAAATACGTAGTTAGCAGCAGTCTGGGACAAGGCTCACTCACAGTGTCACTGACGCCTTGCAGCCAGTGGAGCTCAGAAACTCAGAAACTGAGCAAGGCTGGGCCTAGTCGCTATTGGGATTGGGGATCTCCTAGGAAAATGAGTGGTGGACAGTGCTGGAGGACCAGTATGCAGCACTCCTGTTCCGGAACAGAACTTTCTCTCCAGTGGTCCAGTATGGTAACAGTACACAGTGTGCTGGAGAAGGTGATCGTCTTTGAAGGAGATGTTCAACCTTACTTTCTCCCTAAATTCAACAGGTAAAGTCATTTCTCACTTCACACAGTCTGCAGTGCAGTGGAGCTGCAGCTTGTCAATGAGATGGGTGCTGCACTTCGTTGGTGGATGATGTTACAATATGTAAAGGGATTTTTTAGGGTCCTATGGAGTAAAAAAAACAAATAATTATCATTATTGTTTTTAGAATGTCATTATTACTTCTTGACCTGATCTACGGTTCCTTCCCTTTTCTGATGTTACATGATAGTGTGTATATATTTGGATATACTGTACATAGGGTGTGTATACAGATGTGGTTGCTATGCATCACTAAAGAGGCGGTTTTGCATTTGTTGTTTGCTGGACTACATGCCTATACATCCAGCTCCATTCATGTTCTCTTTTCATGTCCCACATTTCAGCATATTATTAGACAGCCATACATTCTGTGACTGGGATTTTCAAGCTTGTTGCTGAACCATTGTGTTTCTATGCTATGGGACACCTAAGTCTTTCTTCTTTTATCTGTTATCTCATTCGTGCGACTGGTCACAGCAACAGAGATCCCATCCTGGAGAGGCACAAGCATGGGACTACATCCTGGACAGGACTCCAGTCTGGTGCTGGGCTCACACAGGGCACAGTTAAAAAACATGAATCACCCTGATCAGCTTGTCTTTAGAAGGCAGCAGTGTCATACTGTGGTCAGGATCCTGGATTCATAATTAAAAGATTGTGTCCTCAAATTTGGAGTAGATGCTGATGTTGTACCTTTGAGCAAGGTACTTAACTTGAAATGCTCCAGTAAAATATACCAAAAGGATAAATGGGTGCAAAGTAAGCTACTTTGGAAAGAAAGCATCAGCAAAATAATCATTAAAGAAGGGAAGAAACTCAAGCACCAGGCAGAACCCTATGCAGATACAGGGTGCAAATTCACCTGAAAGGTGTCCAAGGCTGGAATTGAACCCGAGACTCAGCTACACCACTGTGCCTCCCATTTTATCTCCTGCTCAGCCTGTAAAGCAGTTCTCTAATATGGATCTCTGACAATCCCCCCCAAAGATCAAAACCACACGGTGCACCTGCAAAACTGAACGGGCCAGGAAGTGTCAGAAAGAACAAAAACACAACCAGATGACATGAAGGAGTATTTAAAGCCCTCTACCCTCCTATTATCATAACACAAGAGAATTATACAGCTGAACAATAGAGCACAGGATTCGATATGGATACCTGGCAACACGAAGGAGCCTGTTCCTTTATTAATATTTACAGGTCTGTGGCTGTGCTCCTGGTTTTCTACACCTCTCAGATAGGTGTTGCCTTTGAATTTACCTCTGGCCTGTCTAGGCTGTGCTTTTTCTCACTGCCGTTGACATGACACATGGAAGTGTTAAACTGCAGTCAGAAACCATAAGCAGACTCTGTTGACTCTCTTTTAACCAGTGTTTGGTGGATTTTTACAGAGGCTCTCAAAAAGTACCTAGAGCAAAATCTCCCAAAATTTTACTTAGAATGGTATAAATTGTACTCTTGTACCATTTATTAAGCACATATGGAACTAAAGTATAAATGTGGAAACACTGCATGATATATGCATTTTTCTCCTGCATTATTAAGACTTTTGTGTGTGATAAAAGTAACAGAAATGGTTAAACATGACAGGATCTGACTTCCTATGTTTTTTTTTGCGGGTGTTGTTATCAAATTATTGTTTTCTTTTATTTTTTAACTTGTCTTTGGTTGCGTATTTGTATTTTTGTATGAATAATTCAGAAGCTCAGGACTATAATTTTCACAGTTCACTGAGCTATGTTTAATATATAACTACCCCTGCTGCAAATTTCCTTTTTAGAGGAATGCTCTTGAAACTCACAGAAACAAAAGTCTGTAAGTCTTCTCCATGGTGCTCCATTAGAGATGCAGTATAATTACATCTTCACTGCCATTGTTTTCATGTTTACTCCACTGAAAGATATCTGGGCTTTAGGTAATGTGTTGCCTTAGCAACAATCCTGCACCCTCTCACTAAACTAGCTCTTCTATTATTTCCTGTCTCACTGTTTCAAACTTGGTTACAGCTTTTCGGAAATAAGAGGACAAAAATGACGTGGCTTTGTTAATCTCATGTCATGCATAGCCTCCCTGAGTGAACGTATTCATTGTAAAATATTCTATTGGCCTTATCAGTCAAGATAAGCTGATAAAGACATACTGTATTATATTATAGTGTCCTTTTTTGAAGTTACTGACTTCACTTCACTTATTATAATTCTCATGAGTAATTACTTTTTTATAGTGAGCTGTGGAACTGTAAAAAAGTTTTGTTTTGGCCAATTTTGTGACTAGCTTCTAGTGATTTTTGGAGCTCGTCATCTGTAGCTGATGTGTCTGAATGTCAGGGTTGAGGCAGATTGCTCACGATTTCCAAGGTAAACACAAACAGGCCCACAGAACTGAAGCATCTCATGTCAATTAAACAAGAAAAACTAGAACTGTGAATTCTTCTTTTTCGTAAACCTGCTGGGCCAGTGATGGGTAGTACTGTATTCAGACATGGCATTGTGGTTCAGACCTTTAATTAGGCTTAGGGTTAATCCCCTTTCTTATTTTGTACATTTCTAGCTGGAGATGCCCTTTCAGGTTGGATGCATCAAACCAGAGCTTCCACCTTTGCTGAAGCCATGTCTTAGCTTTACTAATGGAATCTTTTATCTCCTGGTTCTTCACCTTACTGGTGCTTTTCTTTACTGAAGTGAACTGAAGCAGACAATTTCTTCCATATACACATCCCAACTGTAGGACTGCTGCCCGAAGTAAAGAGATCACCCTCTTGGACACAGCTTCTGAAGTTGTGTGCACTCAGTGCCCAGCACAAGAGTCTTTTTAAATTTCTCTTCCTTAGAAAAATGTGAGGCTATTTCTTGGTAACAAATCCATTTGAATTTTTTGAGTTGTTACCCCTTTCATGCTTGTACCTCTCCTACTGGGGTTTCTTCCTTTTCCTTTTCAGAAAGAAAGTCAGTATTCTTCAAGAAAGAGGTACAGTAAATTATGATCGCTAATGATATATTTAGTGCACGCCCTTAAAATCTTATAAAACATACTTCTTGTGAAAAACAAAATTCAGATCCAGGAAATTTTAACGCGTTTGTTTTTGCTTTTTAAGAAGTAGCAAAAGTAACAGTGTTTGATTTTCTGTTGATTATTTTGGAAACGTAGAGGACATACTTATGTATGTACAGAAATATTACAATGATTTATTCACCTGATGCGGTTATACAAAGCATCTTATAAATAACTGTTTTTATAGACATTTCAGTACCCATTTGTAGAAACAGGATTGCTGGAGTTCTTTGCTCAAGTGTTACACCCAGGATGTAAATCCACAGTCCTGCAGCTGAGTCCTCTACCCTGCTGCTCTTAATCACAATATACTGTAAGTATTGATCAAATGTAATCTTTTCAGAAATCTTAAACTAAGAAAGAAGATTCCATTTCAAAAACAATATCACTTTATTTTGTAAGTATAAAAGAGGTAAATAATTTGATAAAGTGACAAAGCAAAGTGCAAGGATTTATTACGTTATCATGACCATGACATTTTGGAAAGTAATATTACAAAAGCAGAAAACGGATTTCCTTTGATTTAATGAAGCAAAGCCTTCCCCTTAATATTTTTAATTAAAAAATCAACTGTTTAACTAAATGCACCAAGAAAGTGAAATGGTGGACCAGTATTGCTATTTTCTTATACTGTATATCTAAAAATTGATATAGGCATATAGGTAACCAAAATTATCTTTTTTAGGATTTTTTTTTGCCAAGATGACAAGACAGATTCATCTGTGAAAGTGCCTGCTGTTGAGATACGATTTGTTGTTGAATGAAATGTGTGTCAAACACTTAACACTAGCTTCAATACACACATCACCTTAGTCTGTTAGTTGTGCTATAAGATTAAATATGCCTACGTGGGATTTTTCTAAGGCCCACTTAAGAAAAACAAAAGACCTAGATCTACTATTGCTTCGGGACAGATCAGCATAGAATTCAGACAAGAATAAGGACCAAACACAAAAACTGCAAGGAAAGGGAGTCACATTGAGCAATAGGAAAGAATTAACCTGCGTAGCAATAGCATTAGTATTGATCAAGCTCTCCCTCCAAAAACTCCTTCCTCCAAAACTGCCTGTATTGGCCTTCCATAAAGGACACTAAAAAAGAGTCTAGGAAGAGCGGATACAGAATACTGACATGTGCATCAACAGATATTCGAATGCGCACAGACATTAAACTGATGTGTGTGTTCTTACTAGGAACAGGCGCAAGTCTAGAGAAAACTAGGGAAAGCTAGTGGACCAACAATTGAAAAAAGGAAATAACTGTTTTGTTCGTCTGTTTCCTCACAGAGTGCAGGTCTCCCCCCAGCGCGCTCCCTCCCTTCCACCTTCAGGCTTCCTTCCTGTACTCCTCCTCCAGTTTCAGCTTCTCCAAATCATTGCAGAAGAGGCTGGGGTCACCGCAGCGGCGCACTCCGTCGTACTGGCTGAAGTCGGCCACGTACTTCCCGCGGGGAGACATGAAGAGCATGGGCAAGAACTCGTAGCCCCAGAGGATCTCATCCGGGACATAGGAGGTGCGACTCTGGCAGGAAGAGGCCGTGGCCTCCGTGATGGCGTTGAGGATCAACACCAGTTCAAAGTCCTTCTTCCTCAGGTCTTCCGCCGTGAGGCCCCTCAGCGGACTCTCCTCGTCTATCACGTGGTAGAAGGTGAGGGGCAGGATGAGGAAAGGGCTCTCCGTGTTGGAGTCCACCTGGAAGTTCACGCTGGCCTGGCTGAGCGGGATCTTCTCCCCTTCCTTGGTCTCATAGCAGTGCAACAGTTTCCCCGACAGCCGGCACTGGATCAGCAAGCTCTTTCTCATGTTGGCCACGCGGACCATGAGACACAGCTTGCCCTCGTACTTACTGATTACGGCGTAGTGGCTGAACTTTATGGTCTCTGCTCTCTTCTTGGGCCTGGCCAGCTTGGCCAGGAAGGCTCCGGTGACAAAGATCTCAGCCAGGCAGGTGATGACCAACTGGGCCACCAGAGTGAAGATGGCGAGAGGGCACTCCTCTGAGATGTAACGGAAACCGTAGCCAATGGTGGTCTGAGACTCCAAGGAAAACAAGAAGGCCCCAGTGAGAGTTTTCACATTCATAACGCAAGGAGTATGGTTAGACGGTATCTCGGGCACGCTCATGTCTCCATGTCCCTTCCCAATGAGATAAAAGACAATGCCAAAGATGAACCAGGTCGTCACAAAGGTGGCGGAGAAAAGAGTCAGCTTGTAGCGCCATTTAATGTCCACAACCGTTGTCCAAATGTCATGCAGGTAGAGCTTAACCATACCCTCAATATTGTCAACCTTGACAATGTTGTGTCCATCCTTTGACACCACCCTCCGTTTCCTCCAAGAAGCTTTTCCTGCAGATTTGGAAAGGAAAGGTTCCACTGAAGTTTCTGGTGGGCTCATTTCCTCTTAGCGTTCAAATTAGGAATCTGGTGTGGGAAAAAATACAACAGTCATGGGCAGAAATTCAAGATGACCAATCAGATTCGCATCAGGGTTTCACAATGCACTTTTGCTCCAGACATCTTTTCTCATTTTTACTGAAAAACTGACAGTAGTACAAAGCTACACATTATAAGTACAGCGGAAAATCAAGAAAACGTGTCCTCAAACACGATGTGAAATTAAACTTATCATGGTCATTGGATTAATGTAACTTGGCATTAATGGGATCTAAGAATATGTTTACACGTTCCAATTTCTACTATTAGCCTACTGTAAGTAAGAACTACATTTTCCTTTTAGTCTTTAAGTAGTGTGCAGCATTATTATAAATAATACAAAAAGGTAGAGAATTACTTGGACATTGAAAAGTCATTTAAGATGTGAATATACAAAATCTCTGTCCTCGTATACAAGCTGATAAGTTTGCTAAATTAGTGAAAATGTTTTTAATCTCCTAAATATTTTTTTATCTTGACATGTCCTACATGAAGCACGGACCGGACTGACTGATATCACACTGACGTCAAGTTCTGTGTTAAGATAAACATGTTTCCTGGGGTGACTTGAAAGTCATTTGCTTTGAGATATTTCCTTAGAAACCATTGTAGTCCTGAAACAGAGCTAAAAAACAAGGAATTTTTATTTTGTTTTAGAGCTATCATAAGCTATAACCTAAATTGGCCCCAGGCTTATATGGTGGGGCACTCCAGTTTTACCTTGAGCAAGGCACTACTGTATTTCAGTATTTCAGTAAAATACCCTATTGTATAAATCAGTAGAAATAGAAGGTATTGTCTGATAAGTGTTACCTAAATAAATTCATAATAAGCATTAGAAGCACTGAGTGCAATGAAGTATAGGTATACTGTAAATATTAGCTCTTAATCAAAAAGACAACTATCTTGTAACTTCTTATTCTGCCTTGCATGTTAGTAGCCAGCGATTAAATAGGACTCACCAACGTGCCATAGCTAATTATGATGTCTCCTATACCAATGTGATTGGATGAATAACTGAATAATATTATGCCTTTAGTTACTGGATCACTGTATCGCGTAGTTTCTTAAATCGCAGTTAGTAACTGTAAAAATCTAAAAAATAATTTAATTTCTGAAAATAACAGAAGGGTTACAAATGGGATAAGGGATAGTTTAGAGATACAAGGATCTCATCCAATGCTTTCTTGAAGGAATCCAGAGTCTCAGCTTCAGCCACATGGCTAAGCATCTTGAAGAATCTGGTAATGGTTTCATTTATTATTAATTTACTTGCACATCTATCTACAAGAATCTATTTTACAAGTAAAATAGATAGATACAAGAATTTTACAAGTAAAATAGATAGATACAAGAATCTATCTATCTATTTTACCAGAATACGTCAGGGGAAGTATCTTAATCAAAGCTCTATACTGATGTCCTATAAAACAGCTACAACTTTCTTCTGACTTCATACTTCTCTTTAACCCAACAGAGACCTGTACACTGCTTCTGCTTCCTTAATCTAGCAAAATCCCCATTTTAGGCTGAACAGAAAAAGGAAATGTGTTAATCTTTCATATTATCTGTAATATATTTAGCACCCTTTTACATAACAGTCTTTTGCAAACATAAATAACTGTCATGTTTGAAACAAATGCCCGATTTCAACACTGACTCTCTTTAAGCGACCGTGCTGTGTCACAATACACAATAATGTGGCAAATTATTGTGTCACAGGGGCTTGCAGTGACTTCTCAATGTTCCAGTTCCCTGTGCTGTTGGTCTCCTTGTTTGGCTCCATGTACCACGTTTGTGGAGCAAAATCTATGTTCTCACATGGTAAAAAAAAATCGTAATGGGTCTGTGTGTATCAAGTGAATTAAAAAGAAAACATTTCCACATTCACAGAAGAAAAAGTTTTATCTCTTCTAGATCTCTGCCTAAAGAGATGAGAAAGAAGATGTTCTTACAAGAGACAAGGATCATTTAATTTTTTAAAAATCAGTTCATTTTAAAAATAATGAATAGGAAAGTTCAACGATACACTCACAGTGGTTCTCAGGTCCTAGCTATCCTTCTTTGGGTTAGATGTCCAGAAGTCTGCAGCTTGTAATGTGGAACTTGTTACTGCTGCTTCCTTGTTTATGCACCACGGTACTTACTCCACTGTTATTCCTTCTCATGTGTAATGAACTATAGCACAGTGATTATGGTAGCAGAACAAGACTACTCCATTGTTCCCTATGTCAGATTTAATTTGCATGTTTTATTTTTGCTGCAAATCAGATTGCATTTTTCTTTTCATGTGCATTCCAATCTCCTCCCTCTTACCCCTACTTAAGAAATGCTTTTTATCTTGTTATTATATCTTTCGACTGTAAGAAGTACAAACACACCCTCATTTACAGTCAATACTCATGATTCTAGCTCCAAGACTGTATTGTTCCTCTCTGACGATTAACCTGTGCAGCTGCTCACAATCAGCCAATGAGTTCAGTTTGCAGAGAACATTTTTCAGTGTTTCTATGTTCTACAGCAGGTTCTGCATCACAGCATCACTGGCACAGAATGCATGGAGAGATAAGGCAGTAATAAGGCAGAACAAGTCTGTCAACAAAGAAACCATCTTACTGTATGTGACAGAATGGAATAGACTGGGATCTGTCCCAGTCTTGGCATCACACAGCAAGACTTCCAATACGGAATCAGTCTTAAGATGACAAGAGCAGTTATTTAGTAAAATCAACAAGTACTGGATACGGATTAACGAAATCTTTAGTGATAAGGCTGCGAGCGCTCACCCTGCGGTCCATGTGGGTCCTAATGCCCCAGTATAGTGACGGAGACACTGTACTGTAAACAGGCGCTGTCCTTCGGATGAGACGTAAAACCGAGGTCCTGACTCTCTGGGGTCATTAAAAATCCCATGGCGTTTCTCAAAAAGAGTAGGGGTGTAACCCTGGTATCCTGACCAAATTTCCCATTGGCCCTTACCAATCATGGCCTTATTATTATTATAAGTAAAGAGATGAAAATCTGAAAATGTACCTATTTCTCCATGTTTTCTTCCATTTCCACCTGGTGTGATGGAGCCCATTTCTATTGATTTCTTGCTACTCAGTAGTTTAAATGGGTTATCAGACACCATACTGTACAGTATTTACTTTCCTGAATCTGGAACATTAAGTTTTATGTTGAGCTGTAATAGTCCTATAGAACAGCTGAGGAGTGAATTTAAACCACAGTACTATTTTTACATTTAGTTTTGCATTCCAGATCAAGTTGATAATCCAGCAAGCGAAAAAAAAGCCATTAGCTCATCCTAGGGATTTTGAAGCACTTTTTTGCCAAATGTTGTGGTGTTTGGGAAGGGTATTCTGGAAATATTAACAGGTACACATAATAATTGCATTATTGTTTTTTTTTTTTAAATGTCCATGTTACTTGACTATTGGCAATTGCTAAACTTCCTGGAGACATTTACCAATAAAATGATTGAGACTGTATGCCGATTGCATTTGACTTTGGTATTCCCAGTTTCCAGTGGCATCTTTAATAAACAGGACTTAATTTGTAACGGGAGGTAATAAACTTCATTATAAACCATGGGTCTATCTGCACATTTACATTCTCCTTGTAAGAGTTTTAGAATATATTGTGGTCTTTTGTGGTGTTTAATTCCTGTACGTAGAGGGGTATGATGTAGCTCATCACTGACTTTTCCCCTACATGCTGAACCATGATGTGGTTGTATAACGTGTTTCATTGTTATACTGTACATGCACCTTCTCATGTCACCGAGATCTCAAAGACTTTGTACAAAGTTCACTTTCTCTTCACGTTCATAAACAATTTTGCTTCGCAAACATCGTGCAAATTGTTTGATCAGGTTACACTAGTCGATAAAAGTTTAACTCATTTATGCACATAGTTTTGCAATGAATTGCTTTGTTCCTTAAAATAAATGTGATTCATTAATGGGAATTTTTTTACTAAAATGGATCCACAGCTGGCATTTTTAAACTTTACATTTTTTTTTCTAAATAAACAATGAAACAACCCTCCAACATACTGTATGAATGGCAGTATAATCAGTTCATTATAGCTAGAACAGATCTGAAAAATATTCTTCATTGTGTTTCTCAATTTTCTATGCATAAAAAGGATCGGAGTGTTCCTTAGCACGTCATAAAAATCATATCATAATGACATACCTTCACTCAGTAGCCGTCCATGGAACAGGCAGTTTTCCACATGGAATTAAGTCCTGGTCTTCAGGTCTGAACCAGCTTCTTAATTTGCGTTCAGTGATCAGGCTAGCGGAATTTGATTCTGGGACAGATTAGGAAGGTGGACGCAGGAGCACGTTCATGCACATTCTGAAATGACAATGCAGAACTATGATGGGCAGGATAAACCTATGCCAGTCTGTCTTAGGCCCACCCGAAGAGCCAGAAAGCAAAAGAAGTGTCAATCTGTAACATCTTCACCAAGTGCCAAGAGAGATGCAGGAAGGTTTCTTTCCTGCACTTTGTACAGTACCTACCCAGTCAGCTGTTTAGGATTAGAGGTAGTACACACTTTGAGGCATTTTCAAATTCTTAGATTTGCTATTAACCCAACTCCTGTCTTGTGCCAACACTAAAAGAGAACGTTCTGCTCTGTGTGGCATAAACTAAAGCAGTTGACTTCTGACCTGACATTGTAAGCTCACGAAACAGGGTACTAAGAAAAGTGCATTTACATATTGTACTGTACTTTGTGTTTTTATGACTTGTTTAGTTTGACAGCGGGGGAAGCATTTTCTGAAAACAACTAAAAATGTCTATATTCCAATTATAGGTAGCTAATTCATTGTACTTTTAATTGAACTAGAAGATGTTGTAGGGGTTGTTCCCAGTAGCTTTTAGCTAATTAGCAAGGTTAGGGTCACAAATGTAGTTCTAGGGGTATTTTTCCATTACTCATTTCTGGCATTGCCTTAAATCAGTGGATCAGTGATGAAATGTAAGGCAGTAGTTAAGTGTAAGGATACAGGCAATGTGTCAGCTCCAGTGCACACTGCTACTGCACAAGCCCTGATGCTTGGTGGTGTTTACTGTGACATAGGGGATCCAGGCGCTCTGCATTAGTGGAAAGGCTGGCTAACAGCCCCTCTGAATCGAGCACCTGCACTAACAGACTAACGTTGCTCACTAACAGAGCAGAGTAGTGCTAGTGTGGATTTGTGGCCTGGGCTCGGAATCCATTTGTTAAAGGGTTGTGGGTTCACATCCCTGCTGAGTTACAGCTGTAGCGGTCCCGAGCAGGAGTCACCAGGAGGTAGCTCCAACAAAATACCATGTATAGACGGGTATGTGAACAGAAAAAAATACGGGACCCCTTGTAAGTTTGCTTGAGTAAAACGATAGCAAAAACTTTAATCAGAAGATTAAAAACCTTC